GGTGGCTAGATTATCTACTGGGAACAGTGGTGGCGAGATTATCTACTGAGAACGATGGTGGCTAGATTATCCTCTGGGAACTATGGTGGCTAGATTATCTACTGGGAACGATGGTGGCTAGATTACCTACTGAGAGCGATGGCGACTGGATTATCTACTGAGAACGATGGTGGCTAGATTAATTACTGAGTACGATGGTGGCTAGATTATCTACTGAGAACGATGGCGACTAGATTATCTACTGAGAACGATGGTGGCTAGATTATTTACTGAGTACGCCGGTGGCTAGATTATCTACTGAGAACGATGGCGACTGGATTATCTACTGAGAACGATGTTGGTTAGATTATCTACCGAGAACGATGGTGGCTAGATTATCTACCGAGAACGATGGTGGCTAGATTATCTACTGGGAACGATGGCGACTGGATTATCTACTGAGAACGATGTTGGTTAGATTATCTACCGAGAACGATGGTGGCTAGATTATCTACCGAGAACGATGGTGGCTAGATTATCTACCGAGAACGTTGGTGGCTAGAGTATCTACTGAGAACGATGGCGACTGGATTATCTTCTGAGAACGATGGTGGCTAGATTATCTACTGGGAACGATGGCGACTGGATTATCTACTGAGAACGATGGCGGATAGATTATCTACTGAGAACGATGGTGGAGAGATTATCTACTGAAAACGATGGTGGCTAGATTATCCTCTGGGAACAATGGTGGCTAGATTATCCTCTGGGAACAATGGTGGCTAGATTATCTACTAGGAACAGTGGTGGCTAGAGTATCTACTGAGAACGAAGGCGACTGGATTATCTACTGAGAACGATGGTGGCTAGATTAATTACTGAGTACGATGGTGGCTAGATTATCTACTGAGAACGATGGTGGCGAGATTATCCTCTGGGAACAATGGTGGCTAGATTATCCTCTGGGAACAATCTAGATTATCTACTGGAAACGATGGTGGCTTGATAATCTACTGGGAACATGGTGTCTAGATTATCTTCTAGTAACGATTGTTGCTAGATTATCCTCTGGGAACAATGGTGGCTAGATTATCTATTGGGAACAGTGGTGGCTAGATTATCTACTGAGAACGATGGTGGCTAGATTAATTACTGAGTACGATGGTGGCTAGATTATCTACTGAGAACGATGGTGGTTAGATTATCTACTGAGAACGATGGTGGCTAGATTAATTACTGAGTACGATGGTGGCTAGATTATCTACTGAGAACGATGGCTACTGGATTATCTACTGAGAACGATGGTGGCTAGAGAATCTACTGAGAACGAAGGCGACTGGATTATCTACTGAGAACGATGGTGGATAGATTATCTACTGAGAACGATGGTGGAGAGATTATCTACTGAAAACGATGGTGGCTAGATTATCCTCTTGGAACAATGGTGGCTAGATTATCTACTGAGAACGATGGTGGAGAGATTATCTACTGAAAACGATGGTGGCTAGATTATCCTCCTGGAACAATGGTGGCTAGATTATCTACTGGGAACAATGGTAGCTAGATTATCTACTGAGAACGATGGTGGCTAGAGTATCTACTGAGAACGATGGCGACTGGATTATCTACTGAGAACGATGGTGGCTAGAGTATCTACTGAGAACGAAGGCGACTGGATTATCTACTGAGAACGATGGTGGCTAGATTATCTACTGAGAACGATGGTGGCTAGATTATCTACTGAGAGCGATGGCGACTGGATTATCTACTGAGAACGATGGTGGTTAGATTATCTACCGAGAACGATGGTGGCTAGATTATCTACTGAGAACGATGGTGGCGAGATTATCCTCTGGGAACAATGGTGGCTAGATTATCTACTGAGAACGATGGTGGCTAAATTATCTACTGAGAACGATGGCGACTGGATTATCTACTGAGAACGATGCTGGCTAGATTATCTATTTGGAACAGTGGTGGCTAGATTATTTACTGAGAACAATGGTGGCTAGATTATATGCGGGGAACGATGGGGGCTAGATTATCCTCTTGGAACAGTGGTGGCTAAATTATCTATTGGGAACGGTGGTGGCTAGATTATTTACTGAGAACGATGGTGGCCAGATTATCTACTGAGAACGTTGGTGGCTAGATTATCTACTGGGAACAGTGGTGGCTAGATTATCTATTGGGAACAGTGGTGGCTAGATTATCTTCTGAGAACGATGGTGGCGAGATTATCTACTGAGAACGATGGTGGCGAGATTATCTACTGAGAACGATTGTGGCTAGATTATCCTCTGGGAACAATGGTGGCTAGATTATCTAACGGGAACGCCAGATGAAGTGCAGATACATAAAAAGATACTTATAGTGTTTGGTCTCATTTTTGTCAAATGTGCGTCAGTGTAATATGTTCCTAATGATGAATGCACTAAAAAATGAATAAATAAAGCAATACCAAGTCATATTTTAAAACGTGCTATTGGTGAACCTATTGTCTCCTCTATCCGGAGAAATTTTGAATTACAATCCAAAAATAAATGCCAACGTCCAAAACAGATAAAAAAAATCAATTTTTAGACACTAGTACTCTCTTTCNTCAATGGTTGATTCTGAAACCTCCGTTAGAATTTGGTTTGTTTGTGTTTTACGTCCTATTAACAGCTATGGTCATTTAAGGACGTGCCAGGTTTTGATGGTGGAGGAAAGCCCGAGTTCACGGAGAAAATCCACCGACCTACGGTCAGAACCTGGCAACTGCCCCACGTAGTAGTGGAAGGCTAGTGAATTTCATTATTGAAGCAATAACTTTAATCTGAAGAATGTGACGAAATCAGTTAAATCCAAAACAGGTTTAGAATGTATTTCGACTCTAACGCGTCAAAGTTAGACCCTTAAAGGATATTCAAATACTAGCATATAAGAACAAATACTGAGGGCTATGTTAAGTCAATGTCAACACTCGTACCAAGTATATAACCGATCGCGACTTTAACGCCGATGCCAGGCGGACCACATAAGCCCCCTCCCCTCCATTATTGTTCCCATAGGTTAAAGTTCAAAGTATTTTATTTTCGTGTCAAACAACTAATATTCATAAAATCGCACTACATATCAACATTTAAGCATAAAATCTGTCCAGCCAAAATGACATATTAGATACTGTTTATGAAATATTTAAAAACAATCCCAATTCAATTTACTCAGTTCCGCCATTTTATGTAATTAATCAGTATTTATAAAAGACTGAAAACTATTATGCTCTTGATAAAAGTGCATGTCACTTGCTAGTAGCTGGACTATATGTATATATGTTATCACCCTATACACCCTACAGGGTGAGAGATATACAAGAGTGGTTGGGTCAGCTAAAAGAGTATACTTACTTATCTTTAAATACCATGTTCTCATATGTCTCGAAAAGTTGTTCCCAGATAATTGAACGGTAACGTAGGAAACAACATATTTCATGATATTGGAGAAACACCAAAATATTAACAGGGTATTGTTGTTTTTTGACATTTCATTTTTTTTTTATTGATTTTCATGTGAACAATTACATTACATTACATAACATTTCATTACATTACAATACCCATAGGATTATATACATGTTTCAATTCAACATGAACACTGCTAAACTTGGGAACATCAGAAAATACACTCTGCACCGATAAACATTTTTTTAAAGATATATATTTATTAACATACCCTCACATACCTCGACCTTCATCGGTGGTTTAATTGGATCTAAACACAATAGTTTCAGGATAAAATATGCAAGTTCACTTTGAAGCTAATTGTTCACCTAGTTTTAACAGGGTATTATTGACAACGATCCAATTCCATGGAATAACAAACTTTTGTTCATAATGGCTTCAGTTGTTTAGTGTAGCATACGACTCTTTACCGTCATATCGTATATCATCATGGTTTAGGCGTCGACATTTTCTACAAATAACACTAAAATGCAATGTGATTCTGAAGTTACCTAAAGTGGAACCTGACCTTACCAAACTCTTGGTTCTTGGAATCAACAGTTATGTCTGGCTCACATTGTGGTAAACCGGTTTCATGATCGGCGTTTTCGAAAAAAAGCACTCAACGTCTAAATGCTCTTCAGACGGATACTGCCTCATTCGATAACGATCCCCTAGCACCAGAAGCATATTCAAGGCAGCTTCTCTTTCTCTCCAAAATACGGTCAGAAACAAAAGAATCAATCAACTACTGTTTTTATTTCCTAATTTTATTAGCTTCGTTATCCTCTACATTACAAAGGAACCTTTCTGTCGTAGATAGCACGGAGCAACTTGACCGGGCTTTTCAAAATCTTTTTTAAATTTTGAAGTCAGGTTATTTTTTTCATTTCTTATTTTTTGGGTCAGAGAATGGTACAATAGCTCTTTCGTTTTCTAGTTTTAGCTTTCTAAGATTGCGTATTTTTTAGGTGTTTCCATCTCTTTCACATCCTGCCTTTCTTTCCACTGCACGTTATTTTTAAACAGGGGGGTGTTTGAGTTGTTAATAATTTATATCTTCTTTCTTATTTTTACTTTAAAAACTTCTTATCAAGAGTTACATTCGGATATGATGATTGTGTGGGAAGAAATGACCACTTTGTTTTTCTACAGTAGTGCTTAACTTTTATCTTGTTCCATTTTAAATCATGTTCGGTTGTTTTGATGAAGATCTCATTGGAAATTTCCACCAGTTCAAGTTTTTGGCCAATCAAATATGATACATATTTGGTTCTTTTCATGTAGTTTTATTTAATGATTCTAGTTATTTTCGCAATCAAATTCTAATACAGATTTGTTGCAACCCTGCACATGATGAAATGTAAAAGCGAGATTAAACTGCTAAGCCAAACATAAAAAAGCACACGAAAAAGAAACACATAAAATTTCGCTTTATTTTTCATATGAAGCACATAAATGTGATGAAATATTGCAGTACCTTGTATAAGGGACAAATTAACTGTAATATTTCAGATTAAACATAACATAATATGCATATTCCAAAACAATTTTATGTATAAAATAAAAAGAATTAGTATCAAAATAAAATTAAGCTCTGTTGCAATCATAGCGTTATTTTCCTTGACAAGAATTAACACCAATCAACCAGAACTTAAACATCATCTCCTCGATATCTTCATGCTAATTGAGCCCTTCCATACAGAGCTACTTTTTCATCATTTTTTCTAATTTTATCCAGGTCGATTATCTCGTGTTTCTTTGGTGTCATGAACACAAAAATCTCAACCATCAAATGAATATGGATGAGGTGGTATGATTATGATATCAAATTTCGTCGTCACTAAAATCAAGGTCTTCTTCTGGAAAGTCTCCAACTTCTAAATGGTTTACACGAGCAAATCCACCATACTTAGCAGGACAATCAAAGTACCGCTTTCCCTTCACACTGTCAAACAAATAAAGCATTTAATATACCAAGTTCTAACAGACCTGGTCAGTTTTTAAAGTACCAAATACTAATAACCCTAACATAGAGAAACAGATTTAAGTATTGGAATTTTACATGTACATATGCAATAATTTTAAGTATTTGGTTGATAAGTAACTGTAATAAATAATATATGATAAAAATGAAAATAATATCGACTGGCTACATACTAACAAATCCTAACCTTAACCAAATCCTAACCTTAACCAAATCCTAACCTTAACCTTAACTAAATCCTAACCTTAACCAAATCCTAACCTTAACTAAATCCTAACCTTAACTAAATCCTAACCTTAACTAAATCCTAACCTTAACCAAATCCTAACATTAACTAAAACTAAATCCTAACCTTAACTAAATCCTAACCTTAACCTTAACTAAATCCTAACCTTAACCAAATCCTAACCTTAACCAAATCCTAACCTTAACTAAATCCTAACCTTAACTAAATCCTAACCTTAACCAAATCCTAACCTTAACGAGCACTTCATGCATACTTGGAATAACATTGAAGGCCACTTCCTTGTAAAAATGTCACAAGGATATCCATTTTTTAATCATTGTTTTTCTGCCAAATTTATTACCTAACAGCTAAACTTATGTTGATGGGATTTGAACATTTGCATGTTATCAGTTTATCCAGAAAAATTGTGAGCATTTTATTTTTGTATAAATACACTTACCTGCCATCGTTCTTCCCCACAGGTTCATCATATTGCACACCCGCCCAAAGTCCTTCCTTGAAATCTGTTAAACCTACAATGAAAAAACATCTAGATTATTTATTGAAACACATCAAATGTTTCAAAGAAGAAGGAATAATATTCCTAAAATTTAGCAACAGATGCTTGAGAACGAACTTGAAACTGTTTTTTGAAGATGACACAAGGCATTTTTAATTAGAAACTATACTTATATGTAAAATGCATTTGATTATAACCGAAAATATCTGGTGTAGAATATTTAATTTAGGATTGTTATTCGTTATTCCTTCCAAACACCTCATTATTTTCTGATCTTGATAGTCTACAATACAGGTTTTTACCAGTGAAAACCAATTACCGTAAAGCATCAAATTTCCTACTATACCTGTACATTTATGTATATAGATTTTTCAATTACTGGTAGCTTACAAGAAGAGTTGAAGCAAATTTAATACTTTCCTGATTATTATTCAGGCATCTTTCAACAACATGATTTTTTAAAACTTATTTTGTATACCTAACAAGGAAGCTCGTGAAATGACAATTGCAGACATAGGTAATATTTTAATTATTCACAGTAACAAGTTCATGGAAGTTTCACTCTAGATTAAAGAGAAATATGTACTATAAAGCCAGGAGACATGGCCTGTCTTTTCTTTTTTCAGAGCCTGGCCAAGGACAATGGGAGGAAACTCTTACATGTTGTGCCTAATATAATGTTTCACAGAAAAACTGCAATGAGGCTAAAAAAATATATATGTTTTAGGTAACATGCCTGAAAAAAATAGGGTAGGCCGGTAGGCAAATAATTTCTTTTTAATGTGATTTTTTTCATTTTCGTGAATAAATATTATGCTTTATTTTAAATTTAACAGTGCATTTTCACACAGAACAATGACTTTTGATTTGTCAAGAATAATAAGGTCAGACTCCCAGAATAGGAAGAAAATACATCTTAAGGAGTGGCTGTGAACTTTGCCTGACTAATTAATTAATCTTAGATACTTAAGTATGTGATCAAATTTCTAGGGTCGGTAGGAAAATCTAGGGTACGTTAAAATAACTGAAACACACATTTTTAGGGAGCCTGAGGAATTGTGAATACAACAGAGGAAATGAAGAGATACTTGTAAAGTGTAAAGTATACTGGAATAAAATGTATACCAGAAGAATGAAGGTTTTCTTACCAACATATTTGATTTGTCCTCTCTTTACAGGTTGGGCTGGGATCCTAACTTCACACCTGTGGAGGAAAACATAGATTTTTGTAAGTTACCATGGAACATATGTCACAAACATTCTGAGTAGTGATACTGATGTGATCACTATTTGAGTACTTTAAAATTACAATGGTCAATATCCAATGTCCTCAACTAGAATATATTGCATGTATACAGTCTGTTATATAAGCTGAATAGCTGCACAAATTGCTTAATCCATCAGCAATTTGATATAAAGAGAAGAACTTTTCTAGCTTGGTGTTAATCAATTACTGTACTGGTTTTCCCAACAAAATTTTGCCCAATTAAATGTTCACCCTTCACCTGTAGGTTACCGTTTTGTTCCTTGTTCATTTTGCAATTAACCTGGCTCTCACCTTGTGTATCACTATCAACAATTGGACACTGTATAAGTTTAAACAGTAAACACTTCTGTGAACCATATACATGTGTGGTATATTGGGTATATTATTGACCCATGCAACAGTAGTGACTAGATGTGTCAATGTACAGACATGACAGACAGACTTTTTTTCTGATCAAACATTTTATGAATACAACATGGCTTTTTGAGCATGATCTGGGGACAAATATTGGCAAAATTTACGATGGCAAAACCTTTATTTTTTCCCAATCTAAAATCGATAATTCTTTGAACAATGCTGGTTGAAAAATTAATTTGCATAAAAATATTGATGGTGCCATCTCATCTATGTTTTGTTGGCTACTCTCTTGTAAAATTTCTTATCATTGGAGAAGTTATTTTTTGATAGTTTTCGTAAATATGAGCCATCCTTGTTATTACCGGTATCCCTTTTACCTTGTTGCCACCCATCCTGGCCCAATGCCAAACAACAGGCCCTATTCCCACAGCAGTGGGAAAGAAACCATGTAAAGCTAATTTTCAACTGCTGGTGATTGACTTCAAAGACACATGTACACAACTGTATACCAACTGTGACATAAGTGTTAAATCAAGAAACAGCATAATAACATGTAGGTGTTTGATATCTTTTCATGTGAAAAACTTCGGCCATTGTGAAAAATTTGCCCTCAGATTGGAAGGAGAAAAGGGTGAAAGTTGAACTGCAGCTACAATTCCTGGTATGCATTCATCAGTGCAACATAACAAGCGATATAACCTGAATATTGTTACTATAAGATGTGTCTAGCTTTAAATGTGCACAGTTTAAAATGTCCTCAGTAGAGCCATTCATAACAGTATACAGAGTAAGGCATTAATAGATATAATTTCCAGCGTGTTGTTTTCTCTCCTCTCTGAAGTACCCTTAAGAGGTGTTATGTTATGGTTATGGATTTATATTAGCCAAGTGACATATTCAACCAGATCATTATTTCATAAAACAATTTATCATTTGCGACATCCTTACACAGGGGAGAGAAAAGATACATTTTCATATGGACTCTTTTAAATTTACAGTTAGTCTATACTACCTCTCAAGCAGACATTAGTCTACAAGATCCCTCAGGCAGACTATTTTCTGTAGACAAGCTTCTATTTCATTCCAATAGTATGGCCGAAATTCTGAACAGATTGGTACCAAGGGATAGATATAACTACCCACACTGTAGTGGCATGTACCATTAGTAAAGTGAAAGTTGCATCAATATTTGTATTGGCTCAAAATAATGTTTTCCATGTAGAACCATTAATATGTTTGCCTAGATGATTTTTTTGTACATTTTAGAACCAAGCTTAATATTTCAGCCTCTGAATAATGTGGCGAGGCCATTAAATAAATCTAATAATATGGCTGATGTTACCAATTTTTCTCATTCTAAATACAATCCTATATTTTTATCACCTCCCTATATCCTAGTGTCCACACCACACAGACATAAATCAATTTACAAAATGAAAGAACAAAACATTTTTTAAACACTATGGGAGCTTCTTTCTCTCAAAGCATTTCTCACATTGTCATCATGTTTACAGGCTTTGATCATGATGGATACTAACTTCACATTGTCATCATGTTAACAGGCTTTGATCATGATGGATACTAACTTCACATTGTCATCATGTTTACAGGCTTTGATTATGATGGATACTATAACTTCACATTGTCATCATGTTTACAGGCTTTGATATTGATAGATACTAACTTCACATTGTCATCATGTTTACAGGCTTTGATCTTGATAGATACTAACTTCACATTGTCATCATGTTTACAGGCTTTGATCATGATGGACACTATAACTTCACATTGTCATCATGTTTACAGGCTTTGATCATGATGGATACTATAACTTCACATTGTCATCATGTTTACAGGCTTTGATCTTGATAGATACTAACTTCACATTGTCATCATGTTTACAGGCTTTGATCATGATGGATACTAACTTCACATTGTTGTGAGTATATTTTTCGGATGGAGTAGGGAGGAGGGGGACTAACAACATATAAAAAACACTCCCACTAAATAAACTCCTATGATTGCAATGCATTTTCCGGAATATAGTTATACTTACTAGTTAGTGCTGGTAAACAGTTGCTGAACGATGTGTTGTACTTAACTAACGATGTTCAGTATTTATTGTTAAATATTGCCACTGAATCACACATGTAATTAAACACTATGTTAATGGTCTACAATTAGGGCTTATAAGGCTGCCACAGTTCCACTTGAAATTATGTATTCCCACTTTATGTCACTAGCCAGAAACAAATGTGATCTCAAATGAAACATGACATGAAATTATCACGAATTTTCTGACATTTTCAGCTGTCAGAACACAGAAGAGCCTCTTAATTAAATCAAAGTGATGAGTTTTTTTATAGTAATAATAAAACTCAGTTGTTCATTCATTCATAAGTATTATCTAAATTGAACAAATGTAATATTTTCCATGATTTTAATTCAATACAAGAGGCCCAATGGGCCTGCATCGCTCACCTGGTATTAATCTCACACTTGTAATCTTAAAAAGTGGACTAAAATACATCTACAGGCAGAATATCAGTGTTTGATTCCTAAGAACCTATTTAAAGATTTAAACATAATTTTTTATGACGCCTGTGACGTTGAATGTCGAACATGGACATTAGGTTGAACAGAGTTTATAGTCTTCCAACACAGCATGCATCTGGCAAAATATCATTACACTGGACCTTTTGGTTATATAGAACAAATCATTTAAAGATTTAAACATATATTGACCACTGTGACCTTGAATATGGGTGAAGGTCATTCACTTGGTAGTCCTTCATCCCAGCATGTTAATGGCCAAATATCATCACTCTTGGCCTTTTGCTTGTTAAGAAGAAGTCATTCAATGGTTTTAAACATATTTGACCCCTGTGACCTTGAATATATATGTCAAGGTCATTCATTTGAACAAACTTGGTAGTCCTTCATTCCAGCATGTTACTAGCATTATACTAGGCCTCTTGGTTATTCAGAAGAAGTTGTTTAAAGGTTAAAAACATATTTGACCCCTGTGACCTTGAAAAAAGATGAAGGTCATTCATTTGAACAAACTTTTGTAGCTCTTCATCCCAGCATGCTACTAGCCAAATATCATCACCCTAGGCCTATTGGTTATTCAGAAGAAGTTGTTTAAATGTTTTAAACATATTTGCCCTCTGTGACCTTGAATATAAGTCAAGGTCATTTATTTGAACAAACTTGGTAGCCCTTCATCCCAGCATGTTACTGGCCAAATATCATCATCCTATGCCTCTTGGTTATTCAGAAGAAGTTGTATAAAGATTTTAACATATTTGACCCATGTGACCTTGAAAATGGATGAAGGTCATTTATTTGAACAAACTTGGTAGCCCTTCATCCAAGCATGTTACTAGCCAAATATCATCACCCTAGGCCTATTGGTTATTCAGAAGAAGTTGTTTAAATGTTTTAAACATATTTGCCCTCTGTGACCTTGAATATAAGTCAAGGTCATTTATTTGAACAAACTTGGTAGCCCTTCATCCCAGCATGTTACTGGCCAAATATCATCATCCTATGCCTCTTGGTTATTCAGAAGAAGTTGTATAAAGATTTTAACATATTTGACCCATGTGACCTTGAAAATGGATGAAGGTCATTTATTTGAACAAACTTGGTAGCCCTTCATCCAAGCATGTTACTGGCCAAATATCATCACCCTAGGCCTATTGGTTATTCAGAAGAAGTTGTTTAAATGTTTTAAACATATTTGCCCTCTGTGACCTTGAATATAAGTCAAGGTCATTTATTTGAACAAACTTGGTAGCCCTTCATCCCAGCATGTTACTGGCCAAATATCATCATCCTATGCCTCTTGGTTATTCAGAAGAAGTTGTATAAAGATTTTAACATATTTGACCCATGTGACCTTGAAAATGGATGAAGGTCATTTATTTGAACAAACTTGGTAGCCCTTCATCCAAGCATGTTACTGGCCAAATATCATCACCCTAGGCCTATTGGTTATTCAGAAGAAGTTGTTTAAATGTTTTAAACATATTTGCCCTCTGTGACCTTGAATATAAGTCAAGGTCATTTATTTGAACAAACTTGGTAGCCCTTCATCCCAGCATGATACTGGCCAAATATCATCATCCTATGCCTCTTGGTTATTCAGAAGAAGTTGTATAAAGATTTTAACATATTTGACCCATGTGACCTTGAAAATGGATGAAGGTCATTCATTTGAACAAACTTGGTAGCCCTTCATCCAAGCATGTTACTGGCCAAATATCATCACCCTAGGCCTCTTGGTTATTCAGAAGAAGTTGTTTAAAGGTTTTAAACATATTTGACCCCTGTGACCTTGAATATAAACCAAGGTCATTTATTTGAACAAACTTGGTAGCCCTTCATCACAGCATGTTACTGGCCAAATGACATCACCCTAGGCCTCTCAGTTATTCAGAAGAAGTTGTTGAAAGGTTTTTAACATATTTGACCCCTGTGACCTTGAATATAAGTCAAGGTCATTTATTTGAACAAACTTGGTAGCCCTTCATCCCAGCATGTTACTGGCCAAATATCATCATCCTAGGCCTCTTGGTTATTCAGAAGAAGTTGATTAAAGATTTTTACATATTTGACCCCTGTGACCTTGAAAATTGATGAAGGTCATTTATTTGAACAAACTTGGTAGCCCTTCATCAAAGCATGCTTCTGGCCAAATATCATCACCCTAGGCCTTTTGGTTACTGAGAAGAAGTTGTTTAAAGTAAAAAGTTGACGCCGGACGGACGCCGGACGCCGCACCATGCCATAAGCTCACTTGGCCCTTCGGGCCAGGTGAGCTAACAATACTGCATACCAGGATATTTTTGACACAGTTTAACTTTAATCATTTTTTCCCTTCTTCTGTTATGAGGGTGACTTTATCATTACACTGAGTATAAGTAAACATATGATAATACATGTATACGTAATATTTAAAAGTGAAAACGAAATATCATTAAAACAGCAAAGGGCAATAGTTCAACTGGACGAAAGTTTCCTTGGATACAGTTTTGCCTAAAAATGTAATTACATATTTCAACATATAATCTTTTTGGTCACTGTTTGCCGTTATGTTCTTATTGCCTGTGAGTTCTTATGGATCATATGTCATTAAAAAGTTAAATTATTAACCGCAAGTTTGGTGTAATTTTCTCTGATCACATAAACATTAGTGTATGCTTCATAAGTAATGTTACTGTGTGATGTAAGAACTCTATTTGATAAGTTTTAGAGCTATAAAAGTTTTTGGAAAAGGATGTAAAGCAGTCTCTTGTTGAGGCCACATTTTGATCATGATAATTTTGAATAATCTCGGACTCTAATAAGGGGGATGGGCTTATTACAGGACAATAACCAACATTTTGTCTTTTGCACTTTTTTACCAGACAATACCTTATTGTTAGTAAAATTTGAATGGTACATAGCTTTTACAGCATAGGTGTCAACCTCTGAAACCTCCAATGAGGGAGATTCCACATTTCCACTGAGGGAAAAAGTGCGTGAAACGTGACTGAAACTAACTGGCTCAATATTTTTTTTCCATTTTTAAGTATCAACATCACTCCAAAAATTACACACACTCTGCAGTAACATGGAGGTCATTTGACCACGGGATGTAGATCTTGGGTTTGTGTGAGTTTGGACTTGATTGAGGGAGTTTGGAGGGATATTGGCAAATTTTAGTCAACATGATGGAGGGTTGGCAGCTATCATACAGTTGAGGAAGTGTTGTTACGAGAAAAAATGATTTCAGGAGAAGCAAACCATAATCTCTTTGGCTATGAAAGGATGAGATGATAAGTGAAATTTATTGTACATGCTCCTTTTCAACGATATGGCAATACATAATGGAAATTAATGAAAGAAATCTGATTGACCTGTAATAGAAAGTGCATTTAGCTGCTTACCTATCCCCGACATGAAGAGATTCAGCCTTTTGTTTTTCAGCTTCAGCCTTTTTTGCTTTTTCTTCGTCAAGCTTCTTTTGTTCCTCTGGAGAAATTTCCTGGAATCTTCCCATTTTATTTCTCTCTTTAAATGCTCTCACAGAATCTAAAACAGTCAATTTGAACATACCAATAATTTCTTTCGTGAAGGTCTAAATGATGCTATTATAAAGTCATAATTGGTCATGAAGGTAAATTATGCAGGAAAATATCTACAATATCTACAACAATATTGCTTGGCATTTATTTCTTTATGATATTGCCTGCTTGTTATTCTAAGATCCAAATATTTATAATCTTAGCAAATATGCTTCTAGATGACATGTGCAAGATGTTTCATTTTCAAATACCATTCAGTAAACAATGTCAGCAAAGAACAATAGTAAATCTTGTCAATCACCTTTCTATATGTGATTGCTATCAAAAGATACATTTTGTAGCACATCAGTCATAATACTAAATCTCCCCCTTTATGTCGATAAAGAGGACCTACTCTGGACATGTGTGATAAGTTTATGTTGTAGCATATATACCACTACTAAATTACTAGGTAATCAATACATTGAAATTTTAAATTCCATTGAGGGTTTTGAAAGTTTTTTTGGGAATGGTACTCTGCATTTAATTTGGGATTTTTTTCTGCTTTACACTACAATTTAGGAAAAAATTGTGGTCTTGTGAATTGGGAATACATCAATGCAATGCATCCTCTCATTTTAAAGTGTTTATATTTTTTTCTTATTAATGATGTGATCAAGGATATGCTGCCAAGAACAACTTTATTTCTGAACATGAAAAAGTATATTTTTAAAATATTCATGAAAAAAGATCAACAGATTGAAAAAAAAAATCAGCTGATATGGGGCAGAAAAAGAACATTTTAAAATCAGAATGGGTAGGTCTGGGGCCCTATAAACACCTGACAAAATCTAATTCTTCTTTAAAAGCAAACTTATTTTGAGGAAGAAAGTCTCTAAATAGTAAGGCATATTTCCAGGGATTTTAGTAATTAATTACCTGTTCGTTTAGCGTAAGAATCTTCTGATATTTCAAATTTTTCTACTTTTGATGTATCTTCAAATTCTCCTAACTTAATAGTTGCATCTACTACCTGAAAAGATATGAAACATAACCATGACTGCAAGTTGAGGATTCATGTACCACTGCAAAAAAATTGTAGCTACGCATTGGAAACTGATTTTTCCCAGCTTGACTATAGCTTGACTACCGTAATCATTTCTGAAAAGAAACCATACGTTGTGGGACTATTATGCAAAAATGATAAAGATAAAATTCACAAAATATAATCAACAACAGTGTTCTGAGCTAGAGCAGGATGTGAACCCTAGACTTCAAATTGTTATACTACCTCTCTAACCAACTAACTACCTGGTCAATGGAAGTATCCAGGCCCGGCTGTGCTGCAGTTATATCCAAAATGAAGTTAAGGGGAGGTAAGTACAGTGGGACAGGGATCCTTAATCCCTTTCATTTTCACAAACAGTCAAGTCTCATTAGTCCTGTCTCTTCCAGTCTTGTTATCCATATACTTAATTACAATTTCTGGGGACATATGACCATTTTGTTACAGAAAACGTGCCATTTACCCATCAGCTTCATTACCCAGGCACTTTCAACCAGAAACAACAGAACATTAAGCTTTCATTTTTTTATGATTACTTCACACAGATAACTTTTAAGGATTTGGACTCACAAAAGGAATAATAACAAATAAATGAATACCATACACCTTGTTAAAATGAGCCTAAATAAACAGAATACACTAATCAGGACGCATTGTTCGAAGCATTGACTGGTTATCTTTATCAGCTACTAACTACAATTTCCGGTTTTTAATATATTTGTAATTTTTTAAATTTCTGGTGAAAACTGAATGTGTCAGGATTATAAGTGTATGGAACAACTTGCACGATTTCAGATGGTTGAACAATAATTTTTAAAACTTTCAGTTTATGAACCCTATATAGCAGCACATTGAACAAATATTCCCAGATTTAATTGCTTCTCTTTTTGAGTTAACTGAATAACATTAAAATACATGCTTTGTGAAATAGTGATTGACAGTCAATTTTTTAACAAATGTCTTGATTATTAACAAATAAATGCAATTTCACATTAAAAAGAGATTGAATTTTACGGAAAAGTTCAAATAATGTATCCGTTAGATATGATTCTGTTACCTACAAACTGAATGTCAAATACATATAAAGAAGTAATGTCAAATACAATGCCAGGTGTATTCACACATGTGTTACACTTATGTTTTGGCAAGTGACTTACATGTAATCGCATACCATCATCCACAGGATAGGAGCCAAGCAATGCTTCATTATCGTCTAGTTTACATATTAGCTTGTCGTCTTTGTTGTAAGCCTCTAGTTTCATGTTCCCAGCTATCGAGCCAGTCACAAGCTCCAACTTCCCCTAAAACATACATAAACAGTATTTCTGTACAGGTTGAAATGTTTGGTTAGGTATAGGAAGAGTATTGTCATATAATGTGGCTAGAAATGGGAAAGACTGGGGGTGATATTGGGGAGGTTTTGGGTAACAGACCATGGGATGATATTGGACAGATGCAAATCTCTATTTTACGTCTCTAATTAATAGGGTGTTTTTTTCCGTTATTTACTTACAATTATAAACATATTGTTAATTTATCGAATTATGATAGCAAATATGTGTTACGCATAAAGATTCACATCGGTACAAAAAATCAATATCTAGCGACAGATTTGCAACAACTATGAAGATGTTGAGTGAAGTATTTCAGTTTTACAAAATATGTAGACAAAGGGAAGTAACTATTATAAGATCTTCATATTTTTGTTCACAGGAAGCCTTATATTTCTTTTAACTTGATCTCATCAAACGAAGTTAAAATTTGAGAGTTGATAAATTATCCTCTGCTTTAGATAATGTATGGATTTGGAGCCAATGGCATAAGTAGATTAACTGAGGGTTAAATATTTCTCTCTGCTTGGTTTGCTATGTACATAAACCTGCATATAAAAGCACCACAGACAAGACAGAAACCACTTAATGCAACCTGTAATTTTCCATTCGGTGCACCAGGGAAAAGTAATGAATGCAACATATAAGACTTTTTTTTCACTTCAACACTTTAAGAGCTTTCTCAAACAAGACATCAAAGCTCACATGTAAATAGATTACACTGCTTAAACAAAAGCATACAGGAAAATAGTACAATGTAATCATTTTTAAATAATATTGCCTCCATATATATATATAAATATATATATAGAAGCATAGGATTGATCAAAGAAGTTATTATAACATTTATAATTCAAATATCCTTAGACATCTGTGTTTTACATCAACATCTTTTTGTGCATTTTTTCATTAAACATAGGCCTACACATTTGATTATCTCTGTATTTGTTACTTACGCTTTTTGCAGTAGGTAAACTTTAACAACTAACGAAGGAAATATAAAAGTTTATGTTTTAATGGGTGCAAACAGGGTCATAGCTAGCCCTTACTGGGAGTGGATTCATGATCATCTAGGAGTGGACTCAGGGGAGGGCCAGGGCCGTAGATGTGTAGAGACAAACTTTCAGGCAAAGTAATTGCAAAATTGAAACATTCTACAAAAAAAATCATATTTTTAAATGTATTGAGTAAAGGCCAAGGTTATTTCTTTTGAAAGTTTTGTAGCACTCTTTACCAATAAGCTACATGCTAAATATCATATTAATGTCTTTGAATTTTTCAGAAGACATAATTTGATTTTTTTTTAATAATTTTTACCATTGTGACCTTAACTAGTATAGGTCAATGTAATTCATTAAGTTCATTAAACAAGAGGCCCAATGGGCCTGCATCGCTCACCTGGTATAAAACTCACACTTGTAACCTTAAAAGTAATCTAAAATAAAGCTACAGGCAAAATATCAGTATTTATGATTAGAATTCATTCAAAAGACCCTGTTATTCTTTTTTAAAACATTTCACCCCTGTGATTGAAAGTCAAACAAAGTCATTATGTTGAACACATTGTATAGCCTTTCATCTTAGGATGCAACTTGCAAAGTATAAACATCCTGGGACCCATGGTTATTCAGAAGAGGTTGTTTAAAGATTTTAAACAAATTTGACCCCTGTGACCTTGAATATAAGTCAAAGTCATTCACTTTAACAAACAAAGTAGTCCTTGATCCCAGCATATGCTACTGACTAAATATCAACATCCTGAGCCTTTTGGTTATTCAGAACAAGTTGTTGAAATATTTTGAACATATTTGCTCCTTGTGACCTTGAATATGATTCAAGGTCATACATTTA